ATATCATATGAAATGAACAAATCTAAGAGAGGTCTACACCAAGTATCAAAGCATTCAGGCTTGTAGTTTTCAAGAAAAAGTCGAAAAAGTAAAACTATGGACAATCACTCATATGATAGGCTCTGCTCGACAAAGTCGCCAGCATAGCAAAAAAATCCAATTAATGTGTGAGGTTGTATAAATGTTATTCACAAATTTAATCAATGTCTGTGGTTGTGTAAAAATTATTCAAAATCAAATCATTCAAAGTGTATAATGATTATGTAAAAGTTATTCAAAAATCTAACCAATATGTGCAGTCATCTGATTCAAGATGGACAAATTGCAGCTATTTTAGGGTCAAAAATGTCTTAAATCACACATTTTCTCTATTTCGCAACCTGTCGCAGTCATCCATGGACAGATTCTGTTTCTCTTGAAATTAACTTAAAATCAATTTTCAGTATTTTTTGGCAACAGACCATATTATGCGTGAAATCAAAAATAAAAACAGGACAGAATTTCATAGAGTTGTAGTTGTGTCACAACACCTCATGGGATTTGACAAACACAAAATTATTTTGGGGTATTTCCACAGCTAATAATGAATCAACCATCAGCAATAGTTTTAATACATAGAATTTAAATAAACAATTTGTTGACATGTACATCCACTTTGAATTCAGATTCTGAATTTACCTTTGATGTACCTCATGCACTCACAATATAATTTGTCCACATCATGTCAAACTTTATTCTCTAATTACTTTTCCAAGATGTCATATTGAACACAACCACAGATTCAGTCATCATTAAAACACATCAAAGTTTGCGTCATAACTGTCAAATTTAGTGTCTTGAATTGAATGAAAGTGATATTTCACGAAGAGTAAGAGTTCACAAGGCATGCTGAGTTTTATACTACTTATAGCTCTTGGCACTGTCAGTTATAACAAGACACATACAACATGCACAGATCACGTAATAATCAGCCAAATGTGAGATTAGAAAATAACACCCTGACTACCTGTCGGCATTTACCTGATCCAAGGTCTCCTCAAGTCACATGACCCCGGGTATTGTCAAATCACGTCACATAACACCAGCTATAATCATTACTTAGGGGTATTATATGACACAGCGAAACCGAAATAATTTAATTTTATTGATTTTGTTTATTTTTAGAGATATTCTATTCTATTTTTATCATACTGACGATTGCCTATCATACTTTAGCTTTGCTACAATCCAAAAATGTAATAACGAATAATACAACTTCATTTATTTTTCTTTTAATTGGATATTTATAGATGTTTTCATTTCTAAATACGCAATAAAGATATATATTACTTTTTCATTTATACTGGTATATTTTGTATATATTCAGTTTTTAAATTCTTGAAAATTTATTTTATTTAAGTCATGTCATGGTATGACGGAGTCCATGTTAGTTGAATAGCAAACAAAACTGAAATAAGTCAGCCATTTTGAATCAGAACATGAAACAATTTACATGATGTATAATGTAGTTGTAAAGTTTGATTGTGATCAGTCAATGTATATCAGAGACATGGCTCTAGAACAGCATTTGTATTCGGTCATTTTGAATCAGATCTTAAAAAACATCATGCTCTTGTTATAATGAATGTACCAAGATGGAAAAAAGCTGTCCATGTATGAGATCTGAATTTTGATGAATTTTTAAATTAAAATGGCCACCATTTGGCCATCTTGAATCTGACTGTCAAACAAATCTGTGTTAGACATGATGTATGCTGTATAAAGTTTGAAAGTGATTGGTTAAGGTATGTATATCGTCCGGAACATTTGTTTTACAAAATATGGCCACCGGTCAGCCATTTTGAATCCAATCCGAAAAAAAAAATAATGTGCTTGAATGTCTCATTATGTCAAATGTATGTATATTTGGCCATCATAAAACAGTTCGTGAAACGAATGGACGTGCATACGATATATGATGTATGTGTGAAGTTTGAATGTGATTGGCTCAGACGTGTCTGAGATAGAGTGCACGCAAACATGTCGATTCACGGAGGTCAATTAATCCACAAGTCCATGTTTTCACACTGTGTCCAAATGAGGACTAAAAAAAAAATTCTGGCCTGGTTTCATATTTGCTGAACTGTATACTTCGATAGTGAGGCTAGGCTGCACATTGCCACATAAATGTCATCTAAAAGTTGACCACAATGGATTACTTTTTAAAGGTGCCCATTTTATATTTAGCAAATATGCAATCTCCTTGAGTGACAAAAGACCCTCATAGATCATAGGAAGGCATAATCTGAAGTAATCACAGACGATATATCCTGCCATCATAAATTATAATTTAAGTTTATTCTTCACAAATAAGACTGAAAGGTTTCTACTTTATTGATATTTAGAGCTGGAATTGCATGTCTGGTTAGAACATTACTGAGATAATGAATGAGAATTATACTCATGGTATGCAAGCCCACAGGTTGTATGGATTCCCACAAGACACAGTTTCTTATAGTTCTCAGACATAAATAGGAAATAATGTATAGACAGGTTAGAGATCCAGTATGAATTTCAACAGTGTTTGGAAATTATTTTCAGCTTATTTCCAGCACATTCCAACTTTTGCATGCTGTTAAATGACTGAATGTACATGGTCACGTTAAAGTATTAAGGAAATGGTGTTGACACGTATGAATGTGAATTGATCAGCATTCCGGCAATTAACTGAGTCAATCACAACATGCGTATTTGACAATGAGTGATTAACCAATCGCAATGTGCAGTTGTACGAGAGTGAACCAATCAACATGTTTAATGTAACATGTTTATGCACAAATTAAATATTAAACTAATTGCCTAATTGCCACTCTACTAAACAATGCACATTAGAATTTATTGAACATAATCTACACTGTAAACAGGACACTTTTGTTAACTGGGAAAACATCAACATAATCTACATTGTAAACAGGACACTTTTGTTAACTGGAAAAAAATCAACATAATCTGTATTGTAAACAGGACACGTTTGTTAACTGGGAAAACATCAACATAATCTGTATTGTAAACAGGACACTTTTGTTAACTGGGAAAACATCAACTTAATCTACATTGTAAACAGGACACTTGTGAACTAAAAAAACATCAACATAATCAGCATTATAAACAGGACACTTTTGTTAACTGGAAAAAAATCAACATAATCTGTATTGTAAACAGGACACTTTTGTTAACTGGGAAAACATAAACATAATCAGCATTGTAAATAGGACACTTTTGTTAACTGGAAAAACATCAACATAATCAGCGTTGTAAACAGGACACTATTGTTAACTGGGGAAACATCAACATAATTTACATTGTAAACAGAACACTTGTGAACTGGGAAAACATCAATATAATCTTCATTGTAAACAGGACACTTTTGTTAACTGGGGAAACATCAACATAATCTACATTGTAAACAGAACACTTTTGTTAACTGGGAAAACATCAACATAATCTACATTGTAAACAGAACACCTTTGTTAACTGAGAAAACATCAACATAATCTACATTGTAAACAGAACACTTTTGTTAACTGGGAAAACAACATAATCTACATTGTAAACAGAACACCTTTGTTAACTGAGAAAACATCAACATAATCTACATTGTAAACAGAACACCTTTGTTAACTGAGAAAACATCAACATAATCTACATTGTAAACAGAACACCTTTGTCAACTGAGAAAACATCAACATAATCTACATTGTAAACAAGACACTTTTGTTAACTGAGAAAACATCAACATAATCTACATTGTAAACAAGACACTTTTGTTAACTGAGAAAACATCAACATAATCTACATTGTAAACAAGACACTTTTGTTAACTGAGAAAACATCAACATAATCTACATTGTAAACAAGACACCTTTGTTAACTGAGAAAACATCAACATAATCTACATTGTAAACAGAACACCTTTGTTAACTGAGAAAACATCAACATAATCTACATTGTAAACAGAACACTCTTGTTAACTGAGAAAACATCAACATAATCTACATTGTAAACAAGACACTTTTGTTAACTAGGAAAACATCAACATAATCTGTATTGTAAACATGACACTTTTGTTAACTGGGAAAACATAAACATAATCTACATTGTAAACAGGACACTTTTGTTAACTGGGAAAACACCAACATAATCTACATTGTAAACAGGGCACTTTTGTTAACTGGGAAAACATCAACATGATTTACATTGTAAACAAAGAAAGTGCCTGCATTATTTGCTACAATATAGATACTGTGATATTAAATTGCCTAAATATCAGTTAAATTATTAAACAAACTATCTAATTAATATATACATACACAGAAAGTACAAAAACAAAACAGATTTGTACAATGTTTATGCAAAACTGCATTCCAGCTGCAGAGATATCAGTGAAGCGCGACTGTCATAGCACACATCCATACAACATGCCTTTTTCTACAAGTCAATCAAATTGTAGTTTTATTACTCAAACAGCTTCACTGATAACAGATCCCTGCAGGATACAGTGACCCCTGTCAGGTTACAATGACCCCAGCCAATATACAGTGGAATAATTTACATAAACCACCGTTTTTAGATATATTATTACATGTATATATTTTATGTTTTTGAAATGAACATGTGCATGATGTTGATCTATGCAAATTTTATAAAGTACATGTGTACAATTATTAGCATATATGAGCATGATCTTTGTTATTGAAAATTTGATGAGTGTCATTTCAAAAAATACCTACGAATCTTATTATCCCCATTCAATTGGTGTTTCACTAATCACCATCAAATAAATCAATCAGTGGTGTTTGTTTGTTGGTTATGTCTTCTCTCCCTGATAACGAGCTACATACAAAGTATTCAAAAAATTGAAAAACAAAACAAAATAATTTGTAATTATTCAGTGTTATTAAATCAGATTGAGTGATGTTGTTATGATTATGGCATTTTTATTCAGCAGGTTTTACACTTACCACAGTGACTGCATCATTGAGCAATGATTCCCCGAATACAAGTATATACAAAGATTCATTTACGTGCACTTCTTCAAACACGGCCAGCACGGCAACGGGATCAACCGCAGATATCAAACTGCTGAATACCAAGCAATCCAGAAAGTCTAACGGTACAGACACCCATCCAAGACAAACGATGCCATAGAGGGATGCACCGATGGCAAAGCAATTAAAAAGAGTCCCTAAAACTGCATAGAGTAAAATTGTTCCAATGTTGTCGAAGAAAGCACGATTGGGCATAAAGTAACCGGCTTCTAGAACAATGGGCGGAAGTAAGAACAAGAAGAAAGTGTCGCTGTCAAGAGTGTAATCGTCGATAACATCGTTGGCTGCAAAGTAGATAATTACTCCAACAATTATACCAAGAATAATCAGCAAGCAGCTCTCTGGAAAGATCTTTGCTAGTCGATTTGACAGATGAAACGCTGTGAATATACAAATAAGAAAAGAAATTAAAATAACATAGCATACATGTATCTATCACTACCTTGCCCATTGGATACAAAGTAACAATGCAGTTGCTGCCTGATACAATCTATTCTTTGAAGAGAAAAAGTTATATTAAAATATTTCAATCAATACAGTAATATATCAGAATTTTTGTAAGGTAATATTGAAAGAGTTTTAACAGCTTTCAATAATGATAATTAAAAAGTATCTTATCCACTCATACAGTGTACTGTGTTTTCTTATTAGTACTCACTCAGCGTAGTCTTTTTTTTGGGCCATGAAACAACGTTTAGACTGAAATTTCACTGTTCTATATAATACAGCAACAAACGATGCACAATATATGTCACCCTACATTTCGAACAGTCAAAATTCTACCATGAATTTTTAAATTAATTATTTATATTAGCACATTGGTCAAAATTGTTTTTACCGTACATGTACTGTTAATCTCAACATCTGTTATAGAATAATGTAATACAAATTGTCTATTATTCTCTAAATATTTACAGCAATAGATCCAAACAAAACACAACCTTTTGAAGAGAAATTTATTTGTAAATTTTGTTGGTGAAAAAAATTTTAGAAAAAAATAGATGAAATCAGTTTTTAATAACGACAAAAAAAAAATTAACACTGACATTAACAACAACAAGAAGGGCATTTCCCCCTTCATATATCTTATTCTTCTTCTATATTCAGGCAAGATAATAATTAATTTATTAATGTACCTGTTCATGTGATACAGCCCAGCAGATATTTTCAATAACCTCCCCCCTCCCAGCATGCAATGCATACATCAACCAATAAGATCATCTAAACATGTTTGATTGATGTATTTTAATATTGTGACATCATCTTCAAACATTTTATGGCATTTGACAATTGTTATTTTTATTTAAAAACTACTGTTTGAAATATTAATCTTTCCGCTATGTACAAGTACTGGTAGTTTTAAACATTTAACAAGACATGTTTCTGTGTTATAATCATAATGCGATATTTACTGTTTCAAATTCTCTCAACCCTAACTAAGGCCACACCGTCTTAATTTTATGGATGACATTCGCGCGCGCATTAGTTTTCGCCTGTTCTCAAAAAAAAAAAAAATCTCTGACAATGAGTCTCCACAGATGAGTCTCCATTCATATTGCGCCGGCTTGTCGTTAAACTCGTTTTTGACTACCTCAAAACGTGCCAATTTTGTTGTAAATGATTTTCTACACATGCCTATTGGGTTGCCGGGAATTCCAACATGGCAACCACGCAACCAAAGTACGTGAGCATAAAAGTTCAGAGGAAAAACCGAGGGACTGTTGTAGACTGGTAGGCAATTGACGCAATTAAAAGTAGTGATATGTACATTCCATGACTACATGTACTAGAGCTTGTCCGAAATGGTTATACCTGTGACAGCAATACAGTACGAGATGTAATACCAGTTCTGTAGTCCTGTGGTTTTAGCAGCATTTTTTTTTTGGCAAGATTTTTTTTTTTCACACTCTCGCATTAGTTTTGAGGTCTCCAGAGATGTCATCCATAAAATTAAATCAGTGTGGCCTAAGATGAGATTCGTTTCCCAGATGTACCGGTGACATAATTCTCACGATATGTCTACAAAATGCTGATAGAGTTACATTTACAGTGAAGTGCAAATGATACCAATAATGTGTTTCTGAAACTGTCAATATAATTATATCCCAGAAATGTGCGATGAATCCTGGTACGCAAAATGAAACATGCAATGCACAAAGAAGCCTTGAACATGCTTACACAAGCTTCTGACAAATTTATGGGAAAAACGTGCAAAATGGAATAAATTATGGATCTCAAATTTGTGTCCATGTGATACCAAATTTATTAAATTGTGAGTAATTACCGACATTGTGTAAAAAAAAAAAATAGGAAACTCGTTGTATATAATGAAGGAGTACTGCAAAATAATAATAAATCAATTATGTATTTACTGTGTTATAAAGAAATACATTTCCCGTATGCGCATATATTACACAACAAAAGAAATATGAAATTTTTAAAATATGCCCCAACACATTCAATGAAATATACAAATCATTAATTTTATAAGCACATTCTTTAATCTAACCTACGGGTGCTACAGTAATCAATATCGCCAAGTATAATTCTTCAATAAACATTAGAAGGTGTTTAAAATTAATAAAACACTCAAGTATGCGTAACCAACGAGTAAAATGCAAAATATAAATTACACACTTTTATTCTGCATATGGCGGTACTTAAGTAACAAAAAGTGAATAAACAATATAGCAAGTTGTCTACCTGGTGATAATACATTAAACAAGAATGAAATAGACAAATCAAGATCAGAAGACTAATCAATGTATAATAATTATGCAAATGAGGAAATTAATAAGTATTTTTTTTTTACTTTCACATCACAGGTGAATATTAAAGAAAAAAGTACCAGTCAAAATGAAAACAATGTTTTATATGCACTGGGTATTGATCATTACAGTAACATTAGTATGTTATCTGTCAACTTCCTCAAACTTAAATTGCTAAAGGTCATTGCAATTATCTTTATTATTGTAGTATTGATTTATTGGTGATTCAAGTCCTACTACATGTGTATTTACAAATAATGTCCTGATTGTTTAGGAAAGCTTATTCTGTAATCAGAAACTGTCGTAGAATAGCTAGCCTATAAATATTTATTGCATTTATTTGTAACATGTGGATGTTCACTTATTAACCCCTTGAGCCCCATTATTTTTCCCGCTCAGATTTTGGTGCCGCATTTTGTTTGTTTTTATGGTTTTTTTCTATAATTTTTTTATAATTTTGAACCAAATGAGCATTATTTCCTATTGGCTTCAGGTCTCAAACAAAATTTTGGTAAAATATGTTTTTCATTTTGTGAATCATGTAACAAATGTTGACTTTGGAACTTAGAAGGTTAACAAAGTATAGAAAGAAACAAGCCCTGTCAACAGATAAAACCGTATTTTTAAATTCGTTGTGCAACAATTATTGGTGTTTTTATGTGAATTCACACTTTATCACTTGTATCATGATGATAGATTAGCTTTTCGAATTTTTAATTATTTTAACAGAATTAAATTACAGAATAAGTGCATTCACATATTATTCAAGGCACGTACACTACCATTATAACTGGGCATGTATGCTTGGTGAGATTGGGACATCAAAATTGTTGATCAGAATAACATAAATTGTGAATGTAGGGACTTTTTACAGTGTATAATTGTATCCTTGTACTTGATGAGAGGAGAACGGTTACCTAATCAGGTGGTATATCAGAATGTGCTCTCCCTGTATCCCCTGGGAAATTAACCACAGTTAGCAATGGATACATTCTATATATAGCAGACCATAATCATCATTCGTACTTCGCAGTCCGTGAATATAACCATTGATTATATCATGATGATGGCACAGGCATATGTACCGTACAACTTGCGGTTGTTTGTTTCATTATTTCTGCGTTATATGGTGTACTATTATTATCCTAATAAATGTGAAGCTTAAACTTTTCTTGTGACATAAATTTTTATAGTTCTCGACTTCTCCCTTAAAAGAAGTTGTTACATTATGTCATAAATTACACAAGATCAAACAGGTAAGCGTCAAATAGTAAAATGCAAGATCTTTTAAACATGATTGGTTGGAATGTGTGATATATGATACACTGTGTCTAAGAAATACACAATTCATGGATTTTTTAACATGACAAAATTAACTGATAGTTAAAGGATGGCTGTAAACTAAATACCATTAGCGTTTGAGTTGCTGTACTATAACAAAGTACTGAAAGTAATAAGTTTCTTTTTCTGCAGCCCCATCATGGGCTGTGTGTTGTCACAGTGTACATAAACATTTTGATAAACCAACTCATGAACGCCTGTAATCGTACATTTCTGTAAACCAAACTTTTGGGTGAAGCAAGACCGCTATAAACAGAACACCTCTGTATAAACCAAACATATCTGCAAACCAAACACCTCCGTAAACCAAACATCTTTGTGAAGTGACACCCTGGTAAAAGAACACCATCGTGTAAGCCAAACATATTAGTAAACCCAAACCTCTATAAACTAACACCTTGGTAAAGCAAACACCTTGTAAACCTGTAAACAGAACACCAATGTGAACCCAACACATCTATAAACCAAATATCCTGGCAAACCAAAACCTCTATATACAGAAGACCTGTTAATTAAACACCTGTTAATCTTGTTAAAGTAACACCTCTGTAAACAGAACACATGTAAACCAAACACTGCTATAAACCAAAAATGTTGGTAAACCAACACCTGTAAACCAAACATCCAGATGAACCACCATCTCTGTAAAGAAAACACCTTGGTAAACCGAACATCTCTGTAAGCCAAAAACCTCTGTATAATCAAACACCACTGTAAAACTACACGTCTATAAATGAAACTTCTCTGTAAGCCAAACACCTCTGTAAACAGAACACCTTTTTAAAAGAAACAGCTTTGCTTCATGCTTCAAAAAAAAAACGTGGCTCACTGCTCCTTCATTATCTCTTGAATCAATTCTGTCAAATCCAAAAAAAGATTAAAAAGAACTACTGTGTGCTAGGGCATATAAAGTAGAAACAGGGAATATTTAAAATTGAATTGAAGTTAAGATTATATTTTGAAACAAGAAGCCCGTCTGTTGGCAAATATAGGTCTGCTCTTTTAAATGCAGAATATGGAAGCAATCAGATCCACAGTATGGACATTTATATAACAAATTTATGTAGAAAGTTGCCTAATGTATGCAAATTTGGTATTTAATATGCATGATTTTCAATCATAAACAAAAAGGTCTTTGAATTACCCCCAGAGCACCTACATTGTATTCACCAAGTTTTATTGTAATCTGTTAATAGTGGCTGTTATATATCACTGGAGCAGCTAAAAATTGGCTAATTATTATGCAAATTAGGTAATTAACATGCAAAGAT